GAGAGTTATACTTCAATACAATTGTGAATAAGTGTTCCCAAAACTTATGGCAAGATTTTTTAGGTTGGTCCTTAAAACTAATTAAAAGTGAAATCAGCCATAGCTGATATGAGGCAAACAGGCAGATGAAATGTTTATACAACATGGTCCAGTCTTAGTTTTGGTGAAAATGCAAAACAGGCAGTACCCAGAACATTTGGTGAGAAATACTTGAGAGCAAGAAGGTGGCTTAAATTCACACTAAGTAGTTCCTAGTAATAATTAGCACAAGATTTGAGCTTGTTTGACATTACCAAAGAAACTATCTTCCAGACCATCAAGAGATGCTGATGTTTATTAAGAAACTACAGGAGATGATGGGAAAGGAATTGCAGAGGCAGAAAGTGGAGAGGCAACACCAAAAACACTACGTGATTCATCTTTGTACTGGAAGTAATATTCTTGTTGCAGACTAGAGGTTTGAGTAAGAAATGCAAAAAATAGCTCACTAGCCAGAGTACCTGAGAGAGTATTGGTGAAAGGAGGAAAATCTAATTTAAAGACAGAAGAAAAAATTTGATTGGCTTGTCTGAAAAGTTCCAACATCTAAAGGTGGATAATACTAATTGTGCATCTTAAAATATTTCCATGTTCCCACTTGATGATTTTAGGCCCTATTTAACTTTGTATAGTTTTTAGGAGGTTCCAATTTGAAGAGCTTCCAACTGAAGTTGTAATAAAGATATCCTTAGTAAGTGTATGTGAATTGATCAATGGTTACTTAACAATACAAAAATTTTAGTGGGTCCAGATGTAGCTTGTCATCTAGGTAACAATATTACAAAATCTTGCAAGGAGTTATTATAAAAGAAACCAGAAACTATTACAGAATTCGATGTACTTTTGTTTAGATTTATAATGGTTTATACTCGAGACTTAGAAGTGCTAGCTCTGAAACATCCCCAAAAATCTGTAGGGTTCAGGAGCCTCAAGAGAGTTACATAGCAGAACCAGTTATTTCTGCCTCCTCTAAGATTTTTAAAATTGAATAGAGCTATCGGTTTTTTTCTTGAGTCCCTAATAGACATCTTAACTGACTAGAATCTTTCAGAGTTAACTGTGACAACATCAAGCTGGGGGTCATCTCTATGGGCTGAAATATTCAAAGTGTTAAGCACTACAAGGCTTCAAGAATGCATCATGTCCCAAAAGTAAGTGAAACTGGGCAGTTGTTTAACACCTAAAATATTTCAATTAACATTTAAGTTGGCCAGAAATACACATTTTTTCTCTATATCTAGAGTCACTTGAACTTGGAATCTGTGACAGGAAATGGCTGTAGGATGAGGAAATAAAGAAACCTACTGAAGAAGCAAAAAGCTGAAAAAAAAACCTCCCTCCTCCTAATGTCATCAATGACATCAGCAGAAAAATAGTAGAAACCTTATGATGTATGCCAAATTTAAGCACTCTACTGAGCTAAGTGATACCAACATAAAAACAACTACTGACCTATCTCAGTCATTTCTGTAGTCACCAAAGTGTTTGAAAGGATTGTGTATGATCAGTTATATGAACCTCATAAATAGTGAAGAAATCATCTCTAAACATCAATTTGGTTTCAGGTCTTTACACCCAACTATTACTGCTCTTCTTAATTGAAGCCACTGAATCATGGCTACATCAATGCTGTGGTGTTTCTCGACTTAAAAGAGGGATTCAACACTGTTGATCATGAGATATTTCTCGCTAAAATGAATCAATGTGGTATTCAAGAAAAACTTTTTATTGGTTTAAATCATATTTGACGCATCACTCACAACAGTGCTCAGTTAATGTGTATAAATAATGATTAAATAAATAAATAAACATGGAAGATCCCATGTCATCTGGAAGAGGCATTTAATCACTTAATGATGAAATGTAGTCAGGATAAAAATGAAATTCTTATGAAACCAAATGCCAAAAGGATCATGATGAACACACTTAAAGTCAAACCCTGCAAAACTGTTGATAGTGCATGGGACATCTAGGATATTGGGTTAGCAGACAGGAGCAGGCACTTCTCCTCAACAATACCTTGTTTCATAATAGACTGCATTCTTTACGTCACACCTTTTGTCCAAGGGTAATCTACATGTAAACAGACAACCAGCATTTTGGTAGAGATGAAAGGAGAGAGACTGCCCATCACATCTTCTAGAGGCCTTTGGGTTCTCTTTGATTTGCAAATGGCTTTCCACAATCACAAATCCAATATTGGCAAATTTTCCTTTTTCCATATGTTTTTAATTTTTGAAATAAAAAGTTAAACAATACTTTGCAGATATATCAAACCTTACAAATGACTTACAACAGGAGGTGGATTTGATCACATGTCACAAAGCTTCACTTCATTCAGAAAGTTTGTTTTCCATTTCACAGCTGTAATTCTCATAGCTTTCAAGGAACAAGAAGTCACATTTATGACTTAAATAACCAATCCATTGAGATTCAAGTATTTATCCCCTCCAAAACAATGGAGGGGATAAATTTAAATTTGTAAGCATATTTACAGTACTTTCAATTTTAGGGTTCCATTTAGTCTGTATGTATCTCAATCAGGAGGGTAAAGAGGAAGCATCTAAAAAATTTGGCAAATCTGTTACAAAGATGGCAGTGATGCATGAATAATAATTGCCTTCTTATGGTAAAAACAAAACAAAATAATTTTTTCTATAAGCGAAATACATGGATTGGCTTTGAGCCACGTAGACCAAAATGAATGATGATTCATTTTACCCCTTTTAAGCCATATTAACCTGGTATCTTTCTGTCAAATACATGTCAAAAATAGAATAAGTGTGAAAGGTATTGCACTACAGTTAAAATAAGCCAACAGAACTCAGAAAATGTACATTAATTAAAATATTGTGTTAATGAAAGTTACATGGTTCTGATGGAGTACGATGACAAGGAAAGGTTGAAGATTATGTTATGGCTGGTGAGCGCAAACAATCTTCATTTGGGAGTTGTGTAAAATCAAAAAAAAGCAAATGAGTGTAGTAAACAGTGAGTTTGGATTCTTCACAACAAGTGAAAAAAATCATTCAAGCAAACAATGACAGAGGTAAATTGTACATGAGTATTGAGATATCATATAATGTTTTTGACTTGAATCACAGTCAAATGACCAAGAAGTTCCATACTTATAACACACTCGTTTTCAACTATTTAATGTTGTTAGGACATGAGTGTGTTCCCAAAAGTTGAGTTAGCTAGCCACTTTCAGCCCTGCATATAAAGGTTTGCACAAATTAATGTTAATGTTTACTTTTTCCTGATCTCAGAAATATGAGACATGAGTTTAATGAATTTGATTTGTGTTACATTATTAATGGTTATGTCTACAAGACGTACCTGCCACAGTAAGCTCAACTATACTTTCAACTTTCTTTCCCCACATTTCACATTTAAATTTGGTATTGTCTCCAGGGTTGATGTTCTTGATAAACAGGGTAGCTCGTCCTTCAATTTTAACTCTTCCTTGATAAGATGGAGGAATATCACGATGTTCTTGGACACCACGACTGCCCCTGAAAATCATTTTTTTATATGTATCCTTTACCAGAACACTAAAGATGATGCCTCGAGTTGCATTAAGTGGATCAGTGTAGTCCCATACAAGCTTGGCATCACTATCATTTTTAAAATAGCTTGGATTAGAAGGTTCCTGGGTGAAACGCACATCCGCACCCCCTAAAATAGACAACCATAAACATAATATTCCCAGCCCTTTCGTTACATGTGTAAGGATAATATTTAGGAAGAAGAGTTTAAATAGAGTTCACCACAAAGGCAAGTGTAAGCAGTAACAACAATAATTTTTGCTTCTTCATTGAATAAAACAAGTAGATTCCATGGTACCCTTGCTCTGTACCGTTATAAATCACAGGGGATGTCACAATGTCCTAAGCACATCAGTGACACACTCAACTGCACCTAGCTTGTTCTATAACTGATCATGATGCTTGTTCTGGCATCATGTAACAAGAAAATGGCTTCCCGCTTTGCTGTGTTAAGCTAGGAGAAAATAATTTCAATAAACGAAGCAGCTGTCACAAAAAATACAAACACAGCAACCAAGTGTGCTTAGATGCCATTGAATGATAAATTAACTAACCTTTCAAACCTTAATTTCTAACAGGAAAAATCAGATTTTTCTTTCACTGCATTGTAAAGCATTAAAGAAGTGAAGATAAAAATTCAACTATTTTGTACCTTTGTGTCATCGAGCATTCTGAGCATTCTACTTAACGTGATCCAACCTACGCATCTTTTCAGGGTTTGCATGATCATCATGTTTGTAATGGAAAGCCACCTGACAAAGCAGCAACTTTTTTCATGGCTAAGAATACGACTCACACTACTCAAGAAAAGAGTGCTCTTCTCAGTTTCAATTTTGATGTTGAATTCTGAAAGTATAGTAGTGTTACATTTGAAGCATAAAATCCTTTGTTCTTGATTTCTATCGCATCGTAGCTTTCAGACTTCATTTATCGCGTGGTTGAAATCGCAACATCATGTCTTAAATTTGATATACAAAAACTGTTGAAAGCCACCTTAAAGTTCGGAAATCATTTTGACGAACATCAAGTTCAGGAGTAAAGGTCGGCGTTTCCGGCTCGTGTCTATGCTTAAAATGGCTCATGGTAAAAACCGCTGTAAAGTCCTTTGTACCGGAGAATAAATTTCACTCTTACCTAACCCGTGAAACTTTACCAGTAGAAGACAAAGTAGGTATACTTGATGATCACGAAAAGACACCATCTTATCAGACCTTTGCTGACGATCCGATGAGGAAGTTTGTGCTGATCAGCATTAGATTCCATCCACCAAAACCACCTCGGTCGAGAGGGACTGAGATGGAATGATGGACAACTCATGACTTGTTATACTAAATGAAAATTACGAAGCTACGACAACATGCCGACGTATCCCGATGACCTAAGTATATTATTTGTTTGAGAAATTGCATCAAAACTTTTTACTCAAGAAATGGTAAGTATTAATTTATTGTTCGATTGTAGTATTATAAAACATTTTACGCAATGTTATGCAGATATTTCACGTATTTAAAAGGTGCCTAGGTGTCACGTAGTTTTGGTGGATGTCAGTAGGGAACATCCACCAAAACACTGACCAAAACCATCAACAATATATTTTCTTTATTTTATCTATAGCCATTGTTAGATCTTCAGGGAGACAAAAGATTTATACCACTAATTAGCAGCTAGTGCTCTGGCTAATTATTTTTTATGGTGCACAATTGCTGACCGACCAAACGTTCATAATGATTATCATAACTCATAACACATAAAATAAAGTGGTTTTGGTGGATGTTTCTCTCCATCCACCAAAACCACCATAGCAATTTCTGCTACTTCCTTTACAGAAGACTGATGTGACCTGCTATTTGGAGTACATAACCACAATCTATTTCTTTGTATGTAGAGATATTTTGCAAAGTTCTTAAGTCAGCACCTTTTATTATTGAAACCATAATCATAACATGGTGCACAATATAGAATACAAAAGGTTCTGGTGCGGCAATCATGTAATCTTGAAACAGGAGAGTTTTTAACTGACTTAACTGACTTAAACAGATATTTTCGACAAAATTCCAGATCCAGAAATTTCTTCCACTATTTCCACTAAAATCATAACCTTTAAGTACAACAAATTAGCACATCAGTAATTGTTATCAGGGGTCTGAAAATCTTATAAATCTTTGACATTCATTTCAAGTAACCTTTAATTTCATATGAATGAATAAGTATACACTCAAGATTCAGAATGTCGTACATTTTACAAATTATGGATAGATAGTGAAAGACCTTTGCCACATCGGTGAATCAAACCATTGTATACCATGTAGTTTATGATAATTGTTTGTTTTTGCTCACAATATCCAAAACAATGGAGGGGATAAATTTAAATTTGTAAGTATATTTACAGTACTTTCAATTTAAGGTTTCCATTAGGTCTGTATGTATCTCAATCAAGAGGGTAAAGAAGAAGCATCAAGTAACAACATCTGCTAAGAATAGCATTCCTACCTGGCCATATTGATCATCATTGAAATTATTTTCTGTTTACAAGCTCAGCTTCTTTTAAACAGCATAAAGAGCTTGGATTATAGACTCCAGGATGGTTTATTGCTTTCATAACTTTAAGGAAATTTTGCTCTATTGCTCAAATCTTTCAAGTCTTGCCTTGCACCTTGGTGTCAGAAAATTACTTGAGGAAGTCACCACTCTGTTGACTAAATTTGCATCTGTAAACCTTGAAGATCATAATCCTCAGAAAGCAGCAAACAACGCAATGCCAACTTTCATTCCCTTTGGCAGGTCCCTCTAAAAGGCTACAAAAGCCACATAATTTTTTTTGCACCAGCTGCCTGTGATTGGTTGTGGAATATTTCCTTTATTGATCTAGAAAAATTGTACAACCACTTGCATTGTTTCTAGTTTTGTCTGACCGTTTTTAGTTGAAAACTTTGCTGAGAGAAAATCTCAGTACTCATATTTATAATAGTTATCTAAAGTATGCATAACAGAGCAACCCAGTAGTTGGTGCCAAAAGAATAAAGCAATAACTCTTTCATAACTCTTTGAATTCTTACTAATGAGAAACAGCAAAGTAAATGGTAGAATTTCTTGTCTCTTTTTAAGGAGTGTGGTGTCACATGCCAAGTAAAAGTAGCACTAGTGTTCCCAAAAGTTGGGTTAGCTAGCCACTTACAGCCCTGCATAAAAAGGTCTACACAAATTTATGCTATTGTTTACTTTCTCCAGATCTCAGAAATATGAGACATGAGTTGAATGCATTTGGTTTGTGTTTGATTATGAATGGTTATGTCTGCAATACATACCTGCCACAATAAGCTGAACTGTACTTTCAACCTCCCCTGAAGGGCTTTTCCACATTTCACATCTAAATTTGGTATTGTCTCCAGTGTTGATGTTCTTGATAACCAGGGTAGCTCTTCCTTCAATTTTAACTCTTCCTTTGTAAGATGAAGGAATTGAAGAATGTTCTTGCACACCATGACTGTTGTTAAAAATCATTGTTTTAAATTCACCATTTACCAGAACACTGTAGGCAATTGCTGCAATTTTATTATGTGGATCAGCATAGTTCCACACCAGGTTGGCATCACTACCTTTGTTAAAGTAGCTTGGATTAGAAGGTTCCTGGGTGAATATCACATCCACACCCACTAAAATAGACAAACATAAACAATATTCTGAGCCCTTTAGTTACATATGTAAGGATTATATTTAAGAAGAAGGCCTTAAATAGAGTCCACCATAAAGGCACTTTAAGTGTAAGCAGTAACAACAATAATTTTTGCTTCTTCACTGAATAAAACAAATGGATTCCATGTTGCCGAGGCTCTGTACAGTTATAAATTACAGAGGATGTCAAAAAAACAAGAACATCAGTTATACACTTAACTGCACCTGGCTTGCTCTGTGCATTTAGTTAGTAAAAAATAGTACAATAGTAAACAGTGCTGTTGTGCCATTTGCTCTGTCTTAATAACTGACAGCTGGAACAAGCTAAGCTGATCTCATATGCCAATTTTTGGTTCTTACCATATTCTGACATCACATGTGATCTATTACTGAACAGATGAACAGCAATATGGAATCTATTTGTTAAACAGATAATGGAAAATTGTGGTGGATTTGTTTACATGCCTTTGTATAATTTGATTGCCAAGCTCACTGGTGGTTAGCCACAAGAAAATGGCTTCCTGCTTTGCTCTGTTAAGCTTAAGGAGAAGATGTAATTTCAATAAACAAAGCAGCTGTCACAAAAAATACAAAACAGCAACCAAGTGTGCTTTGATAGCATTGAATGGTAAATTAACTAACCTTTCAACCCTTAATTTCTAACTGGAAAAATCAGATTTTTCTTTCACTGCATTGTAAAGTATTATGCAGGGGAAAGATGAAAATTCTACTGTTTTTGTACCTTTGTGTCATCAACATTCTGACGTTCTACTTATCGTGATCCAACCTATGCATATTTAAAAATCATTGTTTTCATTGTTTTCACTGCATTGTAAAGTATTATACAGGGGAAAGATGAAACTACGACTTTTTTTGTACCTTTGTGTCATCAACATTCTGACGTTCTACTTATCGTGATCCAACCTATGCATATTTTCAGGGTTTGCATAACCATCTTGTTTGTAATGGAAAGCCACTTGACAAAGGATTAACTTTTTTTCATGGCTAAGAAGACGACTCACACTAATCAAGAAGAGCGCTCTTCTCAGTTTCAATTTTGATGTTGAATTCTGACCATATAGTAGTGTTACACTTGAAGCATAAAATCCTTTGCTCTTGATTTCTATCGCATCATAGTTATTCAGACTTCATTTATCACGTGATTGAAATCGCAACATCACATCGCAATCATTTCAAGATACAAAAATCATATCATTTCGAGATACAAAAACTGCTGAAAGCCATCTTGGAGTTAGGAAATCATTTTGACAAACATCACGTTCATAAATTAAAGTCAGCGTTTCCGGCTCGATTCTAAGCTTAAAATGACACATGGTAAAAAACACTGTAAATTTCTTTGTACGGGAAAATAAATTTCACCCTTACCTGACTCATGAAACTTTACCAGCAGAAGAAAAAGTAATTGATGATCACCGAAAGACATCATTTTATCAGACCTTTGCTGATGGTTCGATGAGGATTAGGTTGTGCTTATGGGACAATCTCGAGCCCAAGGTCATTTTGGCTCTTTGTCAGCGGTATATTCGCAAAATAATGACCCCTGGGGGAATAGATTAATTAGTCGGGCGACCGACTATGGGTTTACCCTTGGGTTTCTTCACAAAGCTCAGTCACGTGCAACGGGGAATACCGCAGACACGTAATAAGTAAGTAAGTAACTTTATTTAACCACATACCGCATATGAACGAATAGCTCGTTTAAATACAAATGTGCCATAAAAATTGACATAATTTACATGTATAAGTAATGAGTAATAGGTAAGAAATAAAAATTAATTATCTAGAATGAATAATTGCTATTAAAGTAATCAAAAATTTAATAAAAGGGAATATCGGTGACTAGACTATTTGTTTACAAAACAAACAGCTGCAGTCATACGATGAGGACAATGAGGTCTCACCAGAATCAAACCAGAAATCAAATGAGTTATCAGGGAACAGAAAATGTGGACAGAGTGACCGAAGAACATTTGCTGATAAAGACAAGGTGCCTCGTTATAAAACTCTAGGAAACGACGACAAAGATACCATGTTGGACTTTTATCAGAGTTAGGATAAACGTAATTGTTATATTTATGTGACCTCTATCGTGATTGTTAAGCTTACATTCATTATATTTTTGTTCAAACAGAGTACATTATCAGCTGTTATTTTTCCATTTGTTCCATTAGTTTTGTCGCTTTTATGCGTATATTATATTCGCATATTGTTGAGCAGGAATGTTTGTTTGGTACCAAACGAAGTGGTGTCAAATGAAAGTGATGATGTATTGGACAATGTAGCGCCATGTATAGAACCAAAGTGTGACGAATCAGCGTTGTGTATACAACAAAATGATGTTGCAAAAGAAATAAAATATGCAAAGGAATTCAGGTCTCGTTCTGCGATGTTTGTTAATCGTTGTAATATTAACAATGGTGATTACCATGTGCGAAGACGATTCGATCGTGAGCCCAGCAGAATACCTGTAAAAAAACTAGTAAAACAAACAAATAAAGAAGTTAGTGTGCAGGCGAATTCTTAAAAACATTCCTGTCTCGTCAAAAATGTATCGCTACATCAAATGCAGACTTAGAACAAGGAGCAATAATGACAGTAACAAATTTGTACAAAAGATGAGAAAAAAAATGGCATTCTACACGGTCAACACTGAATCGAAAATCGTCGAGTTGTCGAGAGTCTTTGGGCAAATATCTATCTTTGTATAGCTGTAATACATTTTTTAAGTGTGTACAAGAATGCAAGCCACAGAGGTCATTGTGCTACACTGAATCTGTGTAATGACATTGAAACAAATCCTGGGCCTCCTATATTATAATGGTATTGATCCTACTCTAACAATCAAGGCACCATATATCCCAAAAAAATCTAAGGATAAAACTATTCTGGAAAATCTAAGGCCCATCTTACTTCTCAACGTCGACTACAAGATTCTCACTAAAGTTATAGCCAAGCGAATCGAAAATGTCTTGCCAACTTTAATAAACCCTGATCAAACCGGTTATGTTAAAGGCCGCTACATTGGTGAAAATATAAGGCTTATTTATGACCTAATACATTACACAGATAAAACAAATCAAAAAGGTATTGCCATTTTCTTGGACTTCAAAAAAGCGTTTGATTCCATTGAATGGAACTATCTCTTAGAAACATTGCAGCTTTTCAACTTCGGCCACGACATCCAAAATTGGATAAAAATTTTTTATAATAATGTTACTAGCTGTGTTCTGAATAACGGTCATGCCTCAACTTTTTTCTCCCTACAACGGGGAGTCAGGCAAGGTTGCCCTTTGTCTGGCGTTCTCTTCGTTCTCGGCATAGAACTCCTCTCTAAAGCCATAAAAAATGATCCTACTATCAAAGGTATCCAAGTCAACAAGCATGAGCTTAAAATAAGTCAATATGCCGACGACACAACAGTATTTGTTCGTGACCTCGATTCCGTCGTGAGTCTATTGAAGGTTTTAAATGAGTTTAAAGAACTTTCTGGCCTAGAAATAAACACAACTAAAACCGAAGCAATGTGGTTAGGCGAATGGAAAGACAGAACAGATGAACCCTTTGGTTTTAAATGGCCAAAAGAACCTGTCAATGTCCTTGGTGTCTTTTTTTCTCATAACCAAGAAAGTGCTTATAGACTGAACTTCGGTGAAAAATTGTTAGCCAAATATCACATTTTCTGCACAAGCCTTTGCGGAGACATCTTAGATTTTCAAATCTTCCTACTGTTCATCACGGGAAAACTTGAAATCCTAAAAGAGATCGCGACCGCAAAAAAGAACTTCCGAAATTTTATCGCACGTGGGCTTTTTTACTTTAATTTTTCATGCTGCTGTTGTTTTAGGTTAGACTTATACTTAATTTCATAAATATTTGTTTAAGCTATATCAAAAGTAAATACCCAAAGAAATGTAGCATTTTTTGAGACCTGTATGTTCACTTGTGATTGTCTTTTAATTGAAAAGAACTTTGTAAACACGCCAACCGTAAATTAAATTAATGTTAATAGTATTGTAATACATGTATCGTAATGTAGTGTATGTATAATTAGTGTAAGTATAAGTATCAGTAGTGTAAGTAGCAAGTACAATGTAAGTGTAATTAATACTGTAAGTAGTGTAAGTGATCCTCTTGTAAATAAAATTGTTTTAAAAAAAAAAAAAATATATATATATATATATATAGTCAAGGTGATATTATGTACTTTGGTGAAAATGCTGGAAAACAATGCGTTGCTATGAGTTTGATTGCTTTGATTTATATTAAGATAAAAGGAATACATACCTGTGATGACCTGGTACAAATTTTGGAGATGGGTGATCAATTGTATTCAACACTTTCACAATGTACAAGGCAGTTTTTTTTTAATGCAAACTGAATTACTTTTTTTGGCGAAAAATCTTTTTATTTCAGAAAAAATTACAAATAACGAAATTCCGTTAAAATCGTCATTTTTAGCAGCAAATTATTGCACGAGTTTGAGGGCTTCGCGTGCAAAAACGAATCACTATCTCGTCTTTTAAACACTCAAATCTTCTTTTTCGATCTCATAAGACCTCACAAAATGATTTTTGTAAACATTGCGCTCTTCTTTGCGCTTAAAATAATTTAATTTCGAAAGTAAGCCTTTCTCTTCAGTAAAAATACTTCGTGAATAAAATTAATTTTTACCATATGCTAAACCTCCAAATGGATTAAGCTTTTGGTGGTTGAATTTCGAAAAGATGTTCTCAATATAACTGTAAAAATTTGTTTGAGCAAATGATTGAGAGCGATACAAAAGCTTTTCAAAGTCCGTGAAAATGCAGTTATTTGACCTTTTGCGGTCAACATTCCAGTCGCGAGTCACACATATTTTAATATGTTTCAACCAATATGAGGTCGAAAAATGTACATAGAAACATATTACCAAATGCTCTAACCTCATTTACCGCAGAAGACCAACCCAGAGACCATTTTAGTGTGATTCTCTTGTCGTTTGTCGTATTTAGGTCTGTATAAACAATAACGTCCGATGAAACCACAAACCCTGGTGATGGTCGAACACCATCTTGTTGTCAAACGTTCGATATCTTTCTTCATTGTGGCATCATATTCAACGGTTCAGTTGACTGCGAGTATTGGTCAGTTTACAATGCACTAAAAGATTACATCTGACAGTCTAATTCAATGCTGAGTTGACTACAAACATGTACACCCTTTGATTATGAGTGGAAAAATTGTTAACAGCTCTTCCCAATGATGAGTGATGGATGCCAAGGAAGAGAGTTTAGGAACGGCAACTCTTTCCTGGGTTTGCATAGCCATCCTGTTTATAGTGGAAAGCCATCTGACAAAGCAGTAACTTTTCTCGTGGCTAAGAATACGACTCACACTAATCAAGAAAATAGTGCACCTCTCAGTTTCAATTTTGATGTTATATTCTGAACGTATAGTATTGTTACACTTGAAGCATAAAATCCTTTCCTCTTGATTTCTATCGCATCATGGTTATTCAGACTTCATTTATCACGTGATTGAAATCCCAACAACATATCTTAAATTTGAAATACAAAAACTGTTAAAAGTCACCTTGGAGTTCGGAAATCATTTTGACAAACATCACGGTTAATTAGAAATAAAGGGTCGGCGTTTTTGGTGTCTAAGCTTAAAATGGCACACGGTAAAAAACACAGTAAAATCCTTTGTACGGGAGAATACATTTCACACGTACCTGACCCGTTAAACTTTACCAGCAGAAGAAAGAGTAAGTAAATTTCATAATCACGGAAAGACACCATCTTATCAGACTTTCGCTGTTGCTTCAATGAGGAAGGTTGTGCCTAAATCCTTACGGAAGTCCCTTGAAGGGATAGAAGGCCCCTCTTCATTTTTAGACTGGGACCGAGTGTCACTATCACCCTTCGTGAACTTGTCGACCGTAATGGGTGTCTCCATGGGTGTCTCCAAACCGCAGACCGCAGACCGCAGACCGCAGACCGGCAGAACGAAGACCCTCGCTGAAACGTTTTATTTGACGCTAAAGCATTGAAATCAACGGGGTCTACGTTTTGTAGTTTTACCCGCCTCAGACTACAAAACGAAGACCGTCTCTAAAATGCCGGTGTCCATTTTGTAGAAATTGCCGACCTTCACGTCAAGAGACTGTGAGATACTACCATGCGACAAAGAAGTGTCTAACCAACAGATTTCCTTTTTTTTCGGTTGACTTCGTGGAAATTCCTAATGATGTTAAATATAGCCTTCGAAATTCACACAAGAAGTATCTCACAAGCGAGTTTGGGCTGACATTCGAATAAAGCGTGAGACTACGTTCCTGTTTGTGAACGGACGTTTTTAGTACTTGTGCCTCAATTGCCCTACAACAGTTTTAAATTGAGTGTCGTAAAATCATGAGCGAAGGCAGCCTAGTGGACCCATCACAATTTGAAGTAATTATATGCAAACGGCGCTAAACGCAGAAAAATTAGCGCATGTAACTAGCGTTTTGG